GTTTTAGAAGAGGAAGCTTCCCCTAAGCGAGAAGGAAATCTCTTGAACGAGAGAACAACCTTTAGTGAGAGAAAATTCTCGTAAGTGGAAGAAAACCCCCAAATAAGTGGGTATTGGAAGAGTCCCCTTATGTAATCAGATAATTATTGTAGTATTCTAAAAGTTTGAAGGGATAAGAACCTTCTCTCACCCTTGGGGCCAACTACCATCACCTTAGAAGTGTCTAGTTCTTGGACAATATTGATATATTCCCAATCATTCCTTTTTAACGTTGTGATAATGTGTTCAAATGGGTAGTTCGAGTTATAGTTGAGGACTTGTTTAGATGCACTCTCGAACCAATACAAGATCTTTGGGCTTAAGCATTTGCTACCATTACATTTGCTTATGACCATTATGCTATCTCGTCCATTGTTGAATCATGTCATTCAAGTTTTCTTCATTAATGTTTACTAAAACATATGTTTTTCTCTATAGTCATTTGCGATGACTCTTATCTTTCATAACCAATCGTATCCAGTCATTTAACCAATTCTCAATTTGCATTGGGATATTAAATGTAAGATTGCAATTTATGCTACTAATTATAAACTTGTTATGTTGTGAACTAAATGACCAAGGAGTTTGTTATTGCTGATAACATCATGGCCTATATCAAAATCATCACACATAGAGAGTTTAGAGGGCTGGACCATTCTTTCATTTTAGAGAGCTTTGATGCAACCTATTTACTTGACTTACTTATCACGTGGATATTATTCGAATTTTCATTATAGAGGATGTTTTTCTAAACTGAGATAGCTTTTAGCCTCCCATTTTCCCTACCTGTGTTTTTGCAAATACTTAAGTTCTTAATGCTTCAGTATTGCTATCTTCAACAATAACTATTATTGGGGATATTTTGGCCAGTTGGTAGTTTATCTCCAATTGATTCCTTATGAGATGGAAGAGTTTCTTCTAAATTCGCTAGAGACCAAGAAGGCAAGAAATCTTAGAACAAGTAGACCTAGAAGAAAGCATACATAAAAGAAAGCATTTGGGAGACCAAATAATCATTTAGCATTTTGATAAAATATAGAATTTCTTGTGAATCATCTTTAGGAAGAACGAATACCCTAATTGTTCTAAATCCTTATTAAGATGTCATACCGGAGTCGTAATGCTACTTCAGAAGCCCTTAGGCCTTAAATCATCATATCCTCGATGAATAGAAAACTTCTGTATCAGATGATTTGTGTATGCTTAATTAAAAATCTTCTTTCCGAAAGTTTTTGTCCCTCCTAGATTAAATTTTCATGGGAGAAGAGGATATCCTAAGGACATGGTTTAACCATAAATCATTAATAATATCTTAGAATATGACTCCTTTATGCCGAAGGGTAACACAAAAATGATACAATACACCCGGATAAACCTTCAAAGTAAACACCATTCAGAGGAGCACAACGGAAGTGTGGTATGGATCCATAAACCACCACACATGAAAGATTTCTCTCTAAACCATCTAAGAATCACTATAAGTGAACTAGGCATAATAAAAACCCTATGATCAACCCTACTACTACTACAGACTGCTCCAATACGAAAGTATATGACCTCCCTACTCTCTCACCTAGAAAAGACCTTAAATTTTCTCAACCATTGATAGAAGTATGCTCCGTGATTAAGAGACATCATGAAGAAAAAGGAAAAAAGACAACTGTAAATCCAGTATCCTACAAGATCGACATTCGATCAGGATACTACAACCCAACCTTCCTAAAAGTAAAATTTCTAAACACAATACGAATAATAGTAAATTCAAATGACCAAAATTAACCCAACCTAACCTTCATTAGCCATTAGTTGTGACGATATTTAAAAACTATTAAGTGTGAATAACCCCTCGCATATTGTTTGTTTATTCTTAAATTGGAATGTAAAATTTGTACATTATACAAATATATAAAGATGGATCTGCAAAGTAGACAGTCTCAAATTAAAATTTAAACACATGAAGAAATATTTTTCAAGTCGACAAAGACTATATGAGAATACGACAAACCCATGAATCATATCTTAGTGTCATACCTAAAAATAATCACTTATAACATTAGGAAGCGAAAAGTGTAGTACTTAACCATAATAAGAGGAATGGAATAAGTATGGGAATATTATTAATTTTAGCTAGGCCATTATATGACCCCTCTATTAAAGACTCCTAACAATTTTCGGTAAAAAGTAAGAACTTCATAATCACTCACTTAAAAGGACTTTAAGAAAAATCCGATCAAGTACTGAGGTGCCTTGGGAATCATTCAAACCTTGATGGAGTAGAAGTACAATTTGGCTCAACTAAGAATAATTAGTTAGGCATTAGACCTATTGAGTAAAGAGGAGGAAGTCTCGGTACTAAAATATTTTTAAGATTTCCAAAGGTTATTTTTAAAAATCAAATAACAAATGATTTTCACTTAGAAAATAAAAATTTTGAGGGAAGGTAAACATACCATAGTGTTGGGGTATTTAGGTAATTAAGAACTCATCCTTGTGAAGAATAGAGAATGAGGAATATATTAAGAATTTTCAGTCTTTGACGAAATTAAAAGAACTATACGAGTTAGTTAAAGGATAATCTAAGTAGACATCAAGTCATCAAGTATAGAAGGGAAAAAGTCTTGAAAACTATAACACCTTACAAAATTCACGAGCTAAGATTTAGAAATTATGAAATCCTAAATTCTTAGGAATGATGCGAATGTTCAATAGTAATATCTTCCATTAAATCCAATAGGCGGTATATTCCAAGTAACCATATATTAAGTTTTCAAGAGTTGAAAAACTATAATTTAATTCAGGCATGTGAAATTGGGGAACATTAGTGAACTTCGAGAATTAGTGTGGCTCTAGAAATATTTTTTCGGCCAACCGAGACCCTATAACGTGTTTGCTCGCAGGAATCGATGCAAAATTGACCAAATTTGGCTAAAAACGGTCAACTCGAGGCAGACCGCCGCCGGAGCACGGCGGAGCTGCTGTGCCGAATTTTTGAAATTGGCCGAGTGGGCCCTAGGACAGATTTTGGATTTTTTTTGAACATTTGTAGATACTATAAGCGTATTTTAGTTTCTGGAGAAAAAATTCAAGGAATCCAGGGACCGCCCGTAAGCGCAGTAAACCGTTTAGCTCTTCGGTGTTAAATCGAGTACGAATCTCTCACTCTATTCCATATTATAGAATTGAATTTTGAATTAATAATAATATGGTATTTGTGCGAATTAAATAAATGTGCATAATTAATTACGGATTGCTAATGGAGTCAGAATCGAAAATTTATTTTCTGTTGATTTATTTTACAGTCGAAATGCATGATGGTATCTTATTTATATAATTGTGGGTTGTGCAACGTGTGTGTGTATGAGTGAACAATTTATCATATTATATGTGTGGAGTAGTGCTCATTTCTCAACAAAGAAAGCGGGTCATTATACTTAAGAGTATGTAATTAATTAGTAAAAAAAGAAAAAGAAATTTATTTATTTATTGTGAAATGTTATATTCATTTTCTGTCATATTTAATGTTGGTCGACACGAGTACAATGTATATATATGGCATTCATATTGAGTATCTATCCACATGTATTATTGAGTTTGCTATTATTACAACTGTATGTATGTTTGTCTGTCAGACGTGCAGCAAATAATACGAGGGCTCTTCAAATTGGGGGTGGGTATGGGGCTAATGATAAGGTCACGAAAGGAAGTGGTGAAGAAAGCAGAAAGAGGTCAGCGCAATACCTCCATGAAGCTCAATCAAATAGCACAGATGGCTTTGGCAAAACCCTAACATTAGTTGCTGCACCAACCTCCATGGTATAAGAACGGGAAAAGGGAAAGCTGGTGGTGATCATGATCATGTTGATTTGAAATTCTCTCTAGGCACAAAATCTAAAAGACCATTAAGAGAAAGTTCGAGAAGAAATCGGTATTATTTTAACAATCGCGAGCAAGAAATGGATCGCTATTTATCTCTAGGTTTGTCTCCAATGTAGCTCTACGAATACACACACACAAAGTAACACCCATATATATCATCTCCAGCATGCTAGCGGAGTTAAAGTTGATATACGTATATCTGCAGACAAGCTAGTATATTGATGGTGGGAGTTGAACAGTAGTATATATACTTATATATATATATTACATGGCTATGAGTAATTTTGATAATTTTAGTGTGGTGACTTCTTTCTTGTTTTTGATTATCTTGCAAATAAAGTAGAAGAAGGTGTTGTAATAATTTTTTTGGGATTCATATCTCTGACATATATTTTTAATTATACTTAATTTGTATGATCTTCCCTAATGGTTATTAATTAATTAGATTTTATTTATGAAGTTAATCTAACTGAGAAAAAAAAAACAATAGGAGCTGTCCTAATAATTTTAAACTAATTCAAAAATAAATATGATAAAAATAATAAATTCATAAAAATATTTACAACCACCACCATAAAAAAAAAACTTATTAATCGATAAGTCAATCACCCTAAAACTGAGTGAGGTAAACACCATATATCAAACCTGGAAGTATTTCTTATATTTATTGCTATTGTTAATTCTGGAACCAGATACAAAAATATTATTAAGAGGTAAATGTTCTATAGATCGAATATAGATTTTGATTCACCAAGCAAACCGAACCCGAACTATAAAAATTTCAAATAATTTTCAGTGTTGTCTGAACCAAAGAAATCACTAAAAGCAATTCCCAATTGATCGTCGAAGCTCATATTCGTCGATCTACATGCGTCATTGGAGCTTATCCCAGGTTGGTTGTTGTTGAAGCTTACATTAATATTGTTGTTTGACCCATACTCATATTTTTTATTCACTGTCATAAGATTAACCATATTATCTGGCTTAGATAATCGGTTCCTCATCATATTCAAATTTGCGGCATTGTTCAAGATAGACTGATCAAGATTCAAGCACGTATTATTTGGCATCTCTCCAATATTTACCTGCAAACCTATAGCCTTGTCCAAACAATTAGGCACAATCATTTCTTTTTGTTGCTGATTCATCCAAACCTCATTCAGTCCATAATCATTTGTTGCAATCGTTTGCTGCATTCCATAGCCATTAACTTGGTTTGATATGTTGGACCCAATCATTTTTTGTTGACTCGCACTGTCTTGATTCAATCCAAAAATGTCAGGTCCAACTATTTGATGTTGTTGATTTATTTTGACGTGCTCCAACTGATCCAAAGCATGTCCAATTGTTCCTTCTTGTTGATTCATGCTGACCTGGTTTAATATGTCAGCACTGGGTCTAATAGTTTGTTGCTGCCAATTAAAATTTACCTGGCATGATTCACAAACATTAACTCTAGTAATTTAGCACTTTTAATAATTCAATTCATAAATATTGAATCTAATAATTTATTTTTCCTGATTCATGCTTACCTCTTGCACTTCCTCAATGTCTGGTCTAATAGTTTGCAGCTGGTTCTTGTTCACCTGGTTTAAGGATCCAATCTCTTGCTGATGTTGGTTTAAATTGATCTGATTCGATTTGTAAACATTGGATCCAATCACTTGTTGTACGTTGGCTCCAATTGTTTGATGTTTTTTATTCCTGTTGACCTGGTGCAACTCGCCAACATTGGGTCCAATCATCTGCTGTTCATTTTTGTTAAGGTCTTCTAAACCATAAATATTGGTTCCAACCAGTTGTTGTGGTTGATTCATGCTGACATGGTTCGATCTGTAAGTGTCAGATCCAATCATTAGTTGTTGTTGGTGCATGTCAACTTGATTTAATTTATCAATGCCATGAGCTCTGCTATTTGCTTTAGTTGTACCTGCAATGACTTATGCCAGTTATATTTTTTATTTTATAAAAATAAGAGCTATTATGTACATATGATATAAGTATTACGCTATATAAGAATGATGTATATTTTTTTACCATAAATTTATACGAGTAATGTTTGCTATTGATTATTTTTTATTTTTCTTAACAAGTTGTTTATCTAAGAAAAATTGTTTCACCAAAAATATTTTAGTACATTCTTGAATTATTTAAGTTTTTTCATCATAAACAACAACGACACTATCAAATAGAGTTTTTTTCTTAAAACAAGAATGATTATGTAAAAAGCAGAATTATACATTATAGGAAAAAATGCATTCGTCATATGCATATACACAATTATGTAAATATTTGCATGAATGAATGCATGGACGTGTAAACCAAAGCTTACAATACGATAACGCTATCAATAAATACTATAAAACTAAGATTCCTATTGTGTTTAATTACTTGCAATTCTAGTATTTTTCTTTAATTATATTTTGACTTAAATATAATTCCTTCTTTTAGGACAAGTATAATAAAATATATATGTGGTAAATATTATCTTTAAATAAAGAATAAATATAATTCTCCTTTGAAAGGAAAAAAACTAAAAGTATCTAACATTTAAGATGTTACTCTTCATACATAAATTCAAAATTAAAAAGTTTGAGATTTTAACTTTACCTTGGCTTGGATTCATGTGAGATGTTTGTTCACATCCTTTAGGGAGAAGATTTAAGCCGCTCGAGTTCCCCATTTGCCCTCCTAATAATTTATTGTCCACCATGGCTTGTCTTTGCATATGTGTTTGTCTGATAAGGTGATTATTATAGACTTGTCTGAGATGATTCACCTCACTTTGTCTCTCTTCAATTTTACCTGTTAAAATACATTTTTTTTATTATTTTTCTAAACTTATGTATGTGTATGTATGCAAGTGATTGTTGTATATTTTAGTGGTATTTAAAAACTTATACAGTATCGTCATATAGTTTATCTTATTATATAAAAAAAAATTACTTATGCGAGTACAGATAGGTGAATGTATATATAAGTGCATATTTCGTAAAATATCAAAAAATATATGTACATATACATCTTGATGAAGACATGACATGCATAGGATGGCGGAATGAGAGAAAACTTACCAAACTGAGCTGTGGAGTTGTTTCTAGTTGTAGTTGACATGTTTACCGAGCTAGTGTTCTTCTCCATTTGCAAAGCACTTTCTTTTCCTCGAGAGCTTTCAACTTGTGGAGTCATCTGCCTCAATATACATGACAAATATGTGATAACATATATGTATTTTCATGTGTATTAACATTATGTGGTTGTTATTGACATATATTAATTAATATATATATAATTGTATTTTCTTTTCCATAAATACTTAAGCTTTTCCATATATGAAGAAAATTGAACCTTTTTTTGTTTAGATCTTTGTTCAGGATGCAGCTCACTTGATGAAATCCTATAAGCAAAAAAAGAAGTATAACTATATATTATTAATGCTTTAATTATATATTTATTAAAAAAAATTTAAGTTGCACAAAATTAATATAACAATATGAAAAATTATAAAATGGTGATTATTTACCTCTTGTTCCTCCTTGGATTCATGTTAATATTTGAGTTACTAGCCAAAGGCTCAAAAATTTCAAAATTCTTGCCACAACAACGATTACCATCATCACCAACCTCATTAATGTTTCCATCAAATGAAAACGGTTGAGAGAAACCACCTGCGTTGACTTGGTTACCAACAGTACTAATGATATTTGCATCAGATGATTGAGAAGTAGGGTTAGTCTTGCTGCTATTACTTTCCTTAGCAATAGATCCATAGCTTTCCAAATTAAATTTTTCTTGTTTCCATATTTTGAATGTATTTGGGGCTAAAGTAAGAGTAGTCGGTGTTAATGTAGTAGTTACAAACTTTTCAGGCCAATAAAAATTCAATGAGTTTCTCTTATTAGGATCCTTCTCGTTATTTTTCTCCATTGATTCTTCCTTATCCATCACCTATAAATAACCACATACAGAAAGAAAATAATCAAATCAAAACAAACCTTAAAATTCAAATAAATGAGTTGGAAACTTACAAAGGAAATAGAATTTGGAATAGGCAAACTAACCTTAAGAAGATTGTAGAGCTTTTCCGGAGATGAACAAGGTACTTGTATCCTTTTTTTAATATGGACAAATATAATTTTTTTAGCAGATAAATTCTAACTAGTTGACAAATTATTAATGAGCATTTAAGTGGATTCTATTTTTAGATATAAGATGTTTGTTAAAAAAATTAAGTAATTAATTTTTATTTTTGGTTGAAGTGTAATGACAGAAGTAAAGATACCAAAGTGCCCATCGAAAATTAAATAGAGATGTGGGTCAATGTTGTTTTATGGGGACAATTTCCTAAATTGATGAAGTTCGTTGCACATTGGAGTTTGAATTTCTCTTCTTTTTGTTTGTGGTTATATGCATGCATGAAGCTTATATATATGGTAATTAATTTTAAACTTCACCCAATTAAGTTCTACACAGCTGTTATTCATGTCATGCCACATGCACATCATATGTATTAATGTAGATATATGTTCTTTAAAGTTTTTCTTAATTGTGAAATTATGAAAGTGAAAAAAGAACAAAAAGAAGGATATTATTCATTACTATATATGGTAATTACGAAATACAAAATATTATCTACATTACAGTTCATATATAATAAATAAATAAATAAAAGTGTACATGATGTGTCTCAATATACTTTATGATATGTGTATTTTTAATGTAAGTATGATTTAGCTTTCAATTAGAGTGAATAAATTTTGATTAAATTTAAGCACAATATGGTAATGAATAATATCCTTCTTTTTGTTCTTTTTTCACTTTCATAATTTTACAATTAAGAAGAACTTTAAAGAACATATATATACATTAATACATATGATGTATATGCGGCATGACATGAATGATAGCAATTGGGTGAAGTTTAAAATTAATTACCATATATATAAGCTTCATACATGCATATAACCACAGACAAAAAGAAAAGAAATTCAAACTCCAATGTGCAATGAACTTCATAAATTTAGGAAATTATCATTATACTTCAACTAAAAATGAAAATTACTTAATTTTTTAACAAACATCCAATTAAGTTCTACGCAGCTGTCATTATATCATGCTATATATACATCATACGTATTAATGTAGATACATGTTCTTATGAAGTTTTTCTTGATTGTGAAACTATAAAAATAAAAAAGGATGTCAGTACTATTTTTAGAATTACTCTGGTAATTAAGTCAATTACGTTATTTAATAGAGAAAAAATTGAAATAAGAATAAAGATTCAAATTTATGATAGAACAATGCATTAACCATGGAAGGTAGAAGCTGGATACAATTCCAAATATTTTATATATCATTCTTTTTTTAGAAAATGACTAAATCTACATATATGTATAGATACATTTCTTTAATTGGATTATATTTCCCCAAAATACGTACATATATATATACACACACACATATATAGAAATAACTCCTAAGCAGCTGTTGCAGACTATGAATATCCTAAAACTTAATATTACTCAACTGAAGAGCCATTGAAAGGAAATTTTTTTTTCTAAAAGAGATCTACAAATATAATTATATAAGATATATTACTATCGTCATATGTGTATATATATTATTTATGAACGTACAATGTTTTAATTTTAGTTTATCTTCCTTTGAAAATATATTTTGTAGGGTGAAAACAGATATATCGAGCAAAGAAAATTAAAGAGCGAGAGCGAGGTGAAGATCAAATTTGCAGTATATATTCAATTTGATTAAACTATATAGATATAATAATTAGTAAAAAATGTGATTTTAATTATTTAAATTCGATTGTAATGAATAGTACCCAACAAGTCAATATTTAAATTTCAGTTACTGAAACTACCCTGCTACAACAGACAAAACGAAAATAATTACATTATTCCTCTCTAAATTTAAAGTATTATATCATAATCATTATTAATAAATAAATATTATTATATTTTATAAATTAATATTTATGCTTAATTTTTTATTATTATCTATTTTATTAAATATTCTTTTTATTTTATGTCATTTTAAATATATATTCTTAATATTTAAAATTCATTATTTTCACTGGTCAAAAGGCTTAAGAGGGATAATTAATCAGTAAAAAAAAGACAAAAAATATATTTTTTATTTATTTTTCGTGAAATATTATGTTGATTTTCTGTCATCTTTAATGATAGTTGACACATTTAGTGTTTATACGTGTATATATACATATGGCATTCATATTAAGCATATATATATATATATATGTATTAATGACTTTCCAAATTGGCGATGGGTCGGGGGCTAATGATAAGGTCGGCAAAGGAAGTGGTGAAGAAAGCAGAAAGAGGTCAGTGCAAGACCTCCATGAAGATCAATCAACTAGCACAGATGGCTTTGGCAAAACCCTAAAATTAGCTGCTGAACCAACCTCCGCGGCTAAAAGAAAGGGAAAGCTGGTAAATATCATGGTCATGTTGATTTGAAACTCTCTCTAGGCATAATATCGAAAGTTCCATCGGGAGAAAGTTCAAGAAAAGCTCGGTATTATCTCAACAATCGTGAACAAGAAATGGGTCGCTATTTATCTCTCACTTTGTCAACAATGTTGCTCTACAAATGCACATATCATCTCCAACGGTGTTAAAGATGATATATACTTTATCTGCAGACAAGCTAGTATATTGATGGTGGGAGTTGAACAGTAGTATATATATACTTATATATATATATTACATAACTATGAGTAATTTTGATAATTTTAGTGTAGTATCTTCTTTTTTGTTTTTGATTATCTTGCAAATAAAGTAGAAGAAGGTTTTGTAATAATTTTTTTGGGATTCATATCTCTGATATAAATTCTTAATTATACCTAATTTGTATCATCTTCCTTAATGGTTATTAATTAATTAGATTTTATTATGAAATAAATCTAATAAAAAAAATAATACGAACTGTCGTAATAATTTTAAATTAATTCAAAAATAAATACGATAAAAATAATAAATTCATAAAAGCATTTACAACAACCACTACAGAAAAGCTGATTAATCGACCAATTAATCATCATAAAACTGAAGCTATTAGAGTTTTGGATGCGCAAACTGCCCATCTTCACCGCTAAAGAGTTGTTTATTTTGTTATTATTTTTCTTCCTACTAACACACATAAAGTTCAAATTTCCAAGCTCTTGCTTCAAATTTTTCATTACGTTTCCAGGCCATTTCATGACCCATGGAAATAAATTGTTCACCATCCAAGAAATTGCCATTATCGAGTCATTTCTAACTAAAAATGTCTCTGCAACTTCAACATAATTATTTACAAGTATCGGTAGGGCTTCTTTTGTTGCCAATAGTTCTGCATGATTAAAGTTTAGTAAACAACAACTTTTTGAATATTACCAAGCCGGTCTCTCAAGACAATCTCCACCTTTTGCTAGCTCAAGTTTTTCCAAACACCTTCTAGAGGTGAACACCATCTATCAAACCTTTAAGTGCTTTTTCTTTTTCTTGTAACTGTTAATTCTGGAAGAGATGCGAAAATATTATTAAGAGGCAAATGCTCTATAGATGATATATAGGTTTTGATTCACCAAACAAACTGAGAACTATAGAACCTACAAATTATTGAACTGGTTTTAATACTAATCAATACAAAGTATTTATAGCAATTTAAGACGAGACTTTTGATCTCTTATTCCTTAATCCTTTTTTAAAAAATCTTATAAAAGATTCAACTCTTAAAAGTATCTTCAGTCGCTATAAAATTCTAAATAGTTACAATAAAATATATTATTTTTGTATGTACGAAACAGAACAGTGTAATATATATATATATATATATATAATTTAAAAAAATAAATGAAACAATAGGTTTAGGGGTGTCTAACAAAATAAATACTAAAATCGATACATGGCACAACAACAATTATAAATTGAGCAAGTGGAACCTCTCCAAGAAATAGAAGAAACAAAGCTTTTTGCAGAGCAACGTTTTGAAGAAAAGCCCTGTGAGCTCACTTTCCAGTTAACGAACAAGAAAAGTCGGACCTGTGAAAGTCACATCTTTTACTAATATGCATGGACTTCTGAGAGGATTCTTTAATCAACCAAAACCTGCAACAGAATCCAACATCTCTAACACTTACAAGTTGAGAGATGTACCATTTTTAATGCAGAAGAAGTATGCAAGCTGGAAGCACTTTTCCAAGATACTCTTCACTTGGATAGGAGAAGCAGTGCGCTTAGTGTCAGAAAGATACCTCTATATGGGTGTGTTATAAAAGCGGAGAAGAACATAACTAAATGGATTAAATCCTTTGATCGGTCATTTCGAGCTTCCTGTTTTTGAAGATTGCTCATGGTTCGATGATGCCGATGGAAGGAGCCACAGGAGATTCATCCAACTTCCATCTCTTAAAGGCAAAAAAAAAAAAAGATACTTTTACGTAAGCTCATGGGTTTACCTTTTATAATAGATCTGTCTTCAGTTATTATAGCAAACATTAAGTCCTATAATAGACTCTATGAGAAAGACAAAAACATCATGTAGATATGACAATGAAAGATTAGAAAAAATCTAAAAATAAGTTATGACACTAGAGACAAGACACGAGAACGAAGGAAACATGAACAATAAAATTGTTATTGTGAGGGTTTTGTTTTAGTTTTTGAAATCCTTGAATATTTCTTCAATCCCACCAAAACTTGAGTGATTTTCATCCAAATTGAATTCAGAAAGCCAAAATTGATCAGTTGAACTTTGATTTCCCTTTTCTTGAGCCTATGTTCATCATTTGATATCATAGTTGTCATTCTCTCATATCTAGATTCATTTTCCATTATTATATTTTCGAACTCTTCTAATCCAAATTGATGTTGTATGTCTAAACTCATGCTCTTTATCCTCAAAACTCATGCTCTCTAATCCATATTCTCCGCTATAACTTGTATTTTCCATGTCTAATCCATTTTGATTGTTAAAAAGCTTATTTCTGACGTTGTTGAACTCATCTTCATTGCTCAGTGTCACATTTTTCATAGTATTTGACTTGCTTTTATCATTAAAACTTCTTTCTGCTGCCATGTTGTTCGATCCACTACCAACACTCTTATTAGCTGCCATTATATTGTTCTGCTTTTCACTCATGTTTAAGCTCCCACTTCCAATGGAGCTCAACCCATCTTTACCACAAAAGTTTATATTAGAATCTTGGTTTAGTGCCTTGTAATCATTTATTAAGCTCATGCCCACCATGTCTTCAAACCCAAATTGATGGTCTAATCCACTATCTACGACGTTAATGCTTGATCCAAATTCATCAACGAGACTTCCCATTGACTGATAGCCAATGCTCAAGTTTCTCATTTCATTGAAATTCATAATAGACTTATTATTCATACCCAAGTTTTTCATGTTTGATCCACATGGGTCATCCAAAAAATTCACCCCATACTGATTGTTGAAACCCATCAAATGATTTCCAATATTTCTTGAATCATAAGAATCACTAAAAGTCATTCCCAATTGATTATTGAAGCTCATATTCGTCGATCCACATGCATCTCTAGAGCTAATCCCAGGTTGGCTGTTGTTGAAGCTCATGTTATTATTGCGATTTGAACTGTACTCATATTTATTATTCACCATCATAAGATTAACCATGTTCTCTGGCTTAGATAATTGGTTGCTCGTCATAGTCAAATTTGTAGTGTTGTCCAAGACAGTCTGATCAAGATTCAAGCTCATATTCTTTGGCATCTCCCCAATATTTAGCTGCAAACCTATAAGATTCTCCAAATAATTAGGTGCAATCATTTCTTCTTTTTGTTGTTGATTTATCCTGGTCTGGTCGATCTATAACCATTCATTGCAATCATCTGTTGTTGTTGCTGTAATCCATAAACGTTGGATCCTATCATTTTTTGTTGCTGACTCACATTGACTTGATTCAATCCACTAACATCAATTCCAACCATTTGATGTTGTTGATTTATTTTGACTTGCTCCAACCAATCAGCATCCTGTCCAATTAGTTCTTGTTGTCGATCCACGGTGACCCGGTTCAATATGTTAATCTTGGGTCTAACAATTTGTTGTTTCCCATTCAAATTGACATGTTATGATTAAAAAAATGTTAACTCTAGTAACTTGTCACTTTTAATAATTAATCCATAAACATTAAATTCAATAATTTATTGTTACTAATTCATGCTTACCTGTTTCAGTTCATCAATGCTGGGTCTAATATTCTGTTGTTGATTCATATTCACCTGGTTTAAGGATCCAATCACTTGCTGTTGTTGGTTTAGATTGACCTGATTCGATATAGAAACATTAGATCCAATCATTTGTTGTACACCGACCCCAATTATTTGATGTTTTTTATTCCTGCTGACCTGGTGAAACTCGTAAACCGTAGGTCCAATCATTTGTGGCTGCTGATTCATGTGTACTTGGTTCAGTCCATAAATGTTGGATCTAATTCCTTGTTCTTGTTGATTCCCGCAGAATTGGCTCAATTCATAACCATTCGGTTCAATCATCTCCCGTTGATTCATATTAGCATAGTTTAAACCATAAATATTGGTTCCAACCACCTGTTGTGGTTGATTCATGTTGACATGGTTTGATCTATAAGCATTAGATATAATCATTTATTGTTGTTGATGCATCTCAGTTTGGTTTAATCTATCAATACCATGAGCTCTGCTATTCTTTTTAGTTGTTCCTGCAATAACGCATGTCAGTTGAAATTTTTTATTTTATAAAAATAAGAGTTACTGTATACATATAAGGTATAAGTATTACACTATAAAAGAATTATACATATTTTTTTAATTTTAAATTTATACGAGTAATTTTATATTATTGATTATTTTTCATTTCTCTAAACAAGTTGTTTCACTGAGAAAAGTTTTCACTAAAAAATATTTTATTACATTCTTGAATAATATAAGTTGCTTCACTAAAAACAATGATATTCAATTGTTTAAATTTTTAAAAATAGTAGTAAAACAACTTACTAAAATAATTAAGTAAACAATTCTAAAATAACTTCACTACAACTATTGTTATGATTAATCTCATATCTCCATGTATGTTTTGGAAACACCTTATATGTATTTTTTAGTGTTTCCCATGGAGAGGCATGAATGTAGTACTTCCATGCATGGTAGTGATAGCTTAATGCTTTTATGGGCAATGTTTTATGATTCTTAGTGGTTGGGAGTTTTCCTTCTATTTAAGTTAACCTAATATAATTTTGTGTAATTTTTATATATAGTTGTGATGTCTTATGAATTTTATGAGTTGTTATTCACAGGTTGATATTTATAATTGGAAATTCGTAATATTATACATTTAAAATCTTCATACTATGAGTAAAGCTCTTTCTTTTAAACAAGAAAAGTTATATAAAAACTAAATTATGCATTCGTCATATGTATATACGTATAAAGATAATAATGTAAATATTTACGTGTATGCATGCATATAGTATATACCGACATTTATAATATGATTACACACTAAAAAATATTGAATTCTGTAATAAATACTATATAACTTAGATTACTATTCTATTTAGTTATTTGTAATTTTAGTATATTTATTCACTTATATTTTGACTTAAATATAATTTCTTTTTCTTTTTCAGGACAGTGATAATGTAATATATATATATATATATATATGTAATAAATATCATCTTAAGATAAAGAATAAATATAATCTTATTTAGAAAGAAAAAAATAAAAATGAAAATTAGTTTAGAGGGAAAATATCTAACACTAAGATGTTACTTTTCGTATATAAATTCATGATTAAAAGTTCGAAATCTTAATTTCAACTTAGCTTGGATTCATGTACGTTGTTTGTCCCAATCCTTCAAAGAGAAGATTTAAGCTACTCGAGTTTGTCATTTGCCCTCCTAATAATTTAATTTCCACCAGGATTTGTCTTTGCATATGTGTTTGCCTGACAAGATAATGATTATAGACTTATCTCAAATAATTCACCTCACTTTGCCTCTTGTCAAATTCATCTGCTAACACACATTTTATTTTTATTAATATCATTTTTGCAAACTTATGCATGTGTAATACGCAAGTGATCATTGTATACTTCGGTGGTATTATAATATTTATTTGGAATGTGTTTATCCAAATACATATAGGTAAATATATATATAAGTACACACTTGTGAAAATATGAATATAGAAGTGCACATACACATATATATTCCAATGAAGACATAAAAATACATATAGGTTGGAGGAAAGAGAGAAAGAGGGGGGAGAAAACCTACCAAACTGAATTGTAGAGTTATTGCTAGGGGTAATTGACATGTTTATCAAGCTATTGTTCTTCTCCATTTGCAAAGTACTTTTCTTTCCTTGAGAGTTTTCAACTTGCGGAGCATCTGACTCAACATATATGATAAATATGTGATAATTAATATGTGTTTTCATATGTATGTATATGTGGTTGTTATCAATCGATAAAACTTAAGAAAAACGATCTAGTATATATGTATTTATAATTTTTTCTACAAATACTTGAGTTTTTTTCATATAGGAATAAAATTGAATCTTTTTTAATTTAAATCTTTGTTCAGGACAACTTGTTCGATGAAATTCTACAAACAAAAAAAATCACTAGATATTATTAATATTTTAATATATATTAATGGAAAAAAAAATTTAAGTTGCGCAAAATTAATATAAGAATGTAAAAAACACAATATGAAGTTTATTTATCTTTTGTTCCTCCTTGCCTCCATGTTAGTACTTGAGTTACTAGGCAAAGACTCAAAATTTATAGAATTCTAACCATGGCAACTATTATCGTCATCACCAACCTCATTAATATTTCCATCAAATATAACAGTTGAAAGTAACCATCTTGATTGATCTGGTTACCAACAGTACTAATGATAGGCAAATAAGATTGGAGGACAATATTAGAATCAGACAGCTAAAAATTAGGGTTAGCCGTATTGCTATTACTTCCCTTAGCTACAGATCTATGACTTCTATCACTAAATGTCTCTTTTTTATATTTGAAATTTAAAAAGAGATATGGAGTCAATGTTGTCTGATTGGGATCATTTGGTAAATTGATGAATTCATTCCAAGCTGGAATTTGGATTTTTCTTCTTTTTGTTTGTTGTTAGATGCATGTATGAAGCTCATATATATGGTAATTAATTAAGCTTCACCAATTAGCTGTCAGTTATGTCATGCCACGTATACATCATATGTATTAATGTAGATACATGTTCTTAGTGAAGTTCTTCTCAATTGTGAAACTACCAAAATTCAAAAAAAAAAAAAAAAGAATTTTGATGTTGTCTTTAGAGATTACTCTAGTACTTAAATCAAATTGTGTTATTTAGTGGAGAGAAAAAAAAAATTAATCTAAAGTTTTAGATATTATTTTTGTCATATCCTAATTTAAAGTTAAAAATTGGAAATCAAACTAAAAACATTTAGAAATTCATAAAAGGAAAAAAAGAAAGAAATAATTTGAATTTTTTAAGTCACAAATTATTTCTGCCAATTACATTTGTGCATATTATTTAGTCATTTTTGGCTCATTTGCGTATTAAGTAGACTCAACCATCTATCCAACTTATATAACTTGCCCATGAAATCACCAGGTTCATTCTATCATTCTTCACCAGACTAGCTCATATGAACATAGAACAAGACCCTTTATCACAAGCAACAAAGTAAGAACAAAATTATGTAAAAAATGACACTTTTGAATCCATTTGGAAGCATATGAATTTTTATGTGCTTTTGGAGCACAACATCAAAATTTTCTGGACCGAAGGTCAGTGAACACAAAGAGTGGGAGAGAATGAGCTTCAGGGGAACTTGTCTTTTCTGATTTCTTTAAGCTTTGGCAAAGAGAGAAAATGTGAGCTTTGAAAATTTGATAAGAGATTAACGAAGGTCAGGAAGAGAGCTCGAACACAGTAAAAGCAAAAGAAACCAAGGATAACTTATAAAGAAAATGGTTTGAGCTTATAATTAGCAGTTTGGCCATCTATTATAATCTTGCATGCCATGCTTAAATATTTGTATATTCTTAAAGGTGAGAAAGAGAGCTCGAACACAATAAAAGCAAGAAAAACCAAGCATAACTTATGAAGAAAATGGTCTGAGCTTATAGTTGGCAGTTTGGCCATCTGATATAATCTTCCATGTGATACTTAAATATTTGTATGCTCTTAAAGGTTGATTCTTGTACAACAAATTATGAGGAAGTAGCGATTTATGAGTTTTGAAGAGAATTATTCAAAAATTCTAGAGATTGACCATGGCAAAATTCAAGTTAATTACGTCCCATAATTTCTAAGTCTTTTTCTCTGGATTGATCATGCAAAAGTTCAAATTAATTAGTTGAAGTATTTAATTCATTATTCTAGACTTGAGATAAAATAAATAAGAGAAGTATTTATTAAATTTAGACTCGCTAATTAGAAATATTTAGAGTATCTAAATAAATCCTAATTTTAGTTTAAATACTAATTAAAAAATGTTTTAAATAATGGACCAAAATGACATATATTGGATATAATTATAAATCATAATTTAGGAACCAATATAAAGAATGATATTTTGATAAAATTTATCTTACAAGGATCAGTTACTATTGGAGGATTTCTCATCTCAATCGGCCACTATTAAATAAATATTAAATATTAAAATTTTATTTTAATCTTATCATTTATCATAAATACATATTGCTAACTTGTTTATTACATTAAAATATTAGTTAGACTAAATTTATGCCACTTACATATTAAGAAACTAAGTTGATTGATAGCATAATGGCACTTATACCCACTTAAGTATATACATATATACATACATACACACACACATTAATATACTGGCAGTTTTATTATAGCTCTCTTCATTAATAGTATATAAATACATTCCAACAGACCCATATACTTAATTGTTGTTGTCCGTGTTTAAAACAAACACAACAAAAGATTTCACCTTTCGAAAATAACTACAGAGAGCAAACATGAGCAAGTTAAAAAAAGAAACAATGGATAGATGCCCAGCTGGTATTACTGAGAGTTGGTAACAGCAAGTACGTTCAGGTCAAAAGGTGCTTCTTCTTCACCTTCGGCCGGTCCAAACGCCCGGTTCAGCCCAACTGTCACCTGTTGGCCGACGTTTGGACCGTCGCTAGTCAAGAAATTTGGAGAAGAAGAAGCAGTAATAGTCATGTTCATCAGATTGAGTTCAGGATATGTGTTGGCCATCTCTGGGTATTGTTTGCCGCTACCTACCAAGAACTGCTTCACGAATTCTCTCTCGTTTTCAAACTCTCTAAGTTTTGCTGCCAACAAAAATAATTAATATAAGAAAAAAATATTCAATGGTTTTCCTTTTCATATTATTATTATTATAATACTGATCATATTGAACATGATAATATGATATATATATATATATATGTAATTACCTTCTTTGGAGCAAAGTTCAGTAAGAGAGGCAGAGAGTTGCTCATTCATTGTCTTTTTTTTTTTCTATTCGCATAAATAGATAAAATTATTAATTATACATACAGCTTGATGAGACAAACATATATA